AAATGGTACCTGGGGGAGGTTTCCCCTGCTGCTCCTCCAAAGCAGGCTCCCCTCAGAGCCTGTGTGAGCCCTCAAGTGGCAAGCACCCCCCAAAGGTGCTCCACCACACACCTCCCCACTTTCAATAACATTCAGGGGGCCTTCACTTGGCTGCCTTCCCTGCTGGCTTTGTCCCAGCCTACTGCAGCCCCTGCCATGTGGCGAGCACCCCAAAGGTGCTCCGCCACACTAAGGTTTTCTCCCAGCACAGATCTTTCCTTTAGGGTTTGTACCTCTTCACATCCCAGACTAACTCCTATGTCAGGGGGTGTCACCAGGGGTACATGTACCCCTAGGGGTATTTGGAAAAGTCCTAGGGGGTAAACGCGTGTGGGTGGGGATAGCGCACCGCCACCCAACATCCTGAGCTGCTGCCTTCCAGGAACAGGGCCAGTGGTGGGAAGGGGGCAAGAGCAGCGGTGCCCTTCTGTGGGTCACACAGGTGCCCTTCTGCGGGCCGCAAGGGGGGAGCAGGGAGGGAGCTCCCATGCTGCAGCCACTGCTGCCATCCACCACCCCACGCCCATGCAAGGCCCGTCAGCAGCCTGCAGAGCCACACATGTGACCAACTGTGGGAAAGTGGGGTGCAGTGGCAGCAGCACAGAGTGGGAGATCACAGTGGCAACTGCATGCAAGCTCCTCCCCCCCCCCCGCTGTCCAGCCGCCACCACCAGAAGGGGTACACTTCTTTAAAAAGTTTGAAAATCCCTGCCTTATGTAGTAGAAACAGTCTTTGTCTCTCTAAAATCACATCAAGGTTTTCCTTTATGAATGGGACTATAGATATAGAGAACGCTTTGCCTTTTGAGTTCCTGTACCTTTGAAAAGCTCACAAGCTACAGGATTTAACATGATTTTTTTATGTAAATTTATTTAAAACAAATAGGATCCAACCAGACGTGACTAGAAGACTGCAGGAGGAACAAAGACTGCATGTGACCATGTCTTGAGAAGACATGTCACCGTGTCAATAAGAAAAATTAGTGCAATAAAAAGTTATCAAGGTCCTTTATCTAACAAAAACAATTGAAACACAAAAATCAACCCTACTGGCTAAGACTTATGAATGACCCATGGAAGCAATTTGAAGCAGGGTAAACCCAGAATCCAGCTGTGAGTCAACCCTGTTGTGGTGATAATTTGCTCTTGCAAATGGAACTCTGTGCTTAAGAGCTGTAGAAGATGGTGTCTAGCTGTGACATGACTGGAGACAAACACGGTAGTCACTACTCAGGATGCCTGTTTGGGGTTGATGTTCCTATTAATAAAAAATACAACAGTTCTTAGTGTCCCCATAAACAAACATACCATGTCTCTGGAACAGAGGCGCTATCCTCTCCAAAACTGTACTGTATGCCAAGTTTTTCTCAACATTTTTATTCAATTGCTAGCAAAAAGTAGTAGACTGTAGCATTTCACCTCACATGTGAGCACAGACTTGTCCTAGAACACTACAGCCTACAGAAATGTCACTCAGATTTGAAGAGTACATATCTCTAAAATATTTAAGTATTATTTTTACAAGTGATATGTGGAGTGGATGATCACAATTGCTCTTTCTACAAAATCTACAATATCCTGCTGTACTTACAGACAGCCACCATCTTCTACCAGAAGATGTAATACACGTGAAGTATAGGTCTGGTATCTATTGGTGACATTGCTCAGTACCTACACACGATGACCAAATTACTGTAAAAGGTCTTGCCAGTGTACCAACACTGTTCTCTTTAGCCATTTAATTGTGATCTTGCAATTGACATTGTCAGCAGAGTCATTGGTTGATGACCTATTCCAGTATCTCTTAAAGAAAGTGAACTATAATCTAGTATTTATCATACTTTATAGGATACATAAAACCTAAAAGTATTTACAATAAATGTGATAACTCTATTGGTCATCAATTGGTAGCTGTAGGAAACACAAAACACAACTGTTATCCAAAATTTGGGCTCCTTTTGGTTTTTAACATGGTGAGAAATTAATGATAGATATTTCTTTGATGCAATCCTGTTTATTTAGAAAGATCAGTACAAAGTCCTGCACACAGGAGCAATCAAACAGACCTTTGCTCATGTTGTCCAGCTTCTTTCAGATCACACTTAACCCAAATGCTCTGTTAACCTTTATGTGTCTCTGTCCCTATACCTGTATAACAGGGATAACTCAACTTATCTAGATATCTCACAAAAGGATTAATTTATCTTTTCACTGTGCCTAATGCGTTTCCTATACATAACATATTTTTCTTCATAAAGTGCTAAGTCCCATGTTATGTAGTTTATAGTTACTAAATTGTCTTGTACCTTTTAAAACACTTACAATACCACACATCAACAGAGTGGATTCATATTTCATAAAAATCTGGGTACAGGAAGCTTCTTGTTCTTACTAACACCTTCTTACAAATACATGACATCCATACATCTCCAATGATTTGCCTTATTGTCTTATATTCTCATAATTTTGAAACTTTAAATTATGAATGGATGAAGATCGTCTTGCTTTTTTGCAAGATATTCTGAGGTAAACATAGGTATTTACTTTTGGTGAAGTCATCTTTGGTGTCCAGTGTTCTGATAAAAGCAGTTTCTGAGAGGTTCATTTCTGTTGCAATTTTTTGGTGCATGTCTTCATCTAAGTCCTAAAATTGAAACAATAGAAAAAATGAAGTGGAAGCCAGCAAATAGTTTCCTACTTCAGGTAAAATAACTAAGCTATCATTTTCCATTATGATAAAGATAAAATGATTTGTCTATTTCTAAACATGAGTTTTTCTGTATGTGCTTCATGCTTTTTTGATAAACAGAGATAAATACTTGCATTATTATGATATGTAGGCAACTAGAAATAACTGTCTCATTATTTTACAAATTAGAAAGAAAATTATTTCACTCAAAAATTTCTCATTACCACCTGAAACTCAGCTTTACTGAAGAATGCAAGCATTCCTGAAGTTTGGGTGAATAAGTCTTTTAGAAGTTCCACTTCTGACACTAACTTCTAGTAACACCAACTCCCTTCCTGTAACCTTACAAAGCCCACCCCACCCACATCTTCCATACCACTTATGATTCTCTAGTAATGTCTAAGTTCAGTAACCTATCTCTGCCAAGTCCTCTGTGCCATTCTATTCAAATATAGTGCACACTGGGGTGTAGGGTACTTCACCGTGGAGGAAACCCCAAGAATGGAAGAGAACTGAAAACAATGTCATGTGGTACCAATAAGAGAGGCTCCCAGATGTGCTGGATCTTAACACAGGGGACCCAGACCAGTGAAGATTATACATAGGTTATAGGAGTTAAAAAAGTAGCTTGAAACCTGTTTTTTTCCACCCACATCTCTCTCCACAGTCTTATGCTAATCAAAGCATGGCCAAACTAAAGACTTGCCCTTTGAGGTACTGAAACATAACTGAACCAACTACTACTTCTGAAGGATTAAAGTTTTCCCGTTATCTCTAATTATTTAAAGTCACTTTTAATCTAACATAGCCACTAAACCCACATGAGAGAAATCAGACAATTATTGTTTGATACAAAAGATCTTTACATGTTACAGCATGGTAACTTTTTATAGTAGCCAAATCTCCTGCTTACTACACAGGTCCAATTCTGACTCCTAACCCTTCTAAATAGGATGAACAAAAATTAGTCACCCAAGACTTTACAGAAGGTATAGGCAGTATGTCGAAATGCTTCCATCTTGTGGCAGTTTTGAAATATAGCAAGTTTTTTATAACAAGCAATTTTCTGCAGAAGACATCAACAGTTTTTTTTAATATATAGCTGATGGCAGCACTGGGAAAAAAGGTTGCTAGTTCTTAAGATTCTCTCTTGAGTCTCGTATCTTTGGTATTTGTTTTAAAGCTACATCTCCCGAGGATTCCCTCGGGCTCCGCACCCCGCCCCCCCGCCCCTGGCACCTCAGAGCCCCGCGCCTGCGGTACCTGCCTGTCCCTTTTTCAGGCTCTGAGACCTGGGAGCATGGTGACCTCCCCTTGTGGGGTCTGCTCCCTTTTGGGGTCTCTGGCGCACCAGCTGGAGGAGCTCCAGGCCACAGTCCAGAGACTGCGTGCCATCAGGGACTGCGAGCAGGAGATAGACTCCTACTGCCAGGTCCTTCTCCCCCGGGAGGCGGAGGGTAGACCAGTCTCCCTCCACGCCAAAGGAAGAATCCAGGACCTCCCGCTCTGTCCAGCCAGGGACATGGACCACGGTGGTCAAGGGCCCTAAGGCCCGCCGCACCAAGGCCCCTGCCCCGCCGGAGCTGAGCAACAGGTATGCACCTCTTGCCACTCCAGCAGAGCCTGCTGAGTTGCCAGCTCCCGCAGGCAACATGAACCCAACTGCAGTTCCCACCCTTGCTCTCCCCAAGACAAAACGTAGGGTGTTTGTTGTGGGAGACTCTCTCCTGAGGGGGACTGAGGGG